GTCTGTTACTTCTTGGAGAGTAGGAATGACATTGATTCTGATGTTATCATCTTCTGTGATACATCTTTAAATACAGTTGAGAGTTCTAAAATCAATGTTGCTGGAGTCTTTAGAAAAGAGGTTCTTGTAAAAGTTCACATCTTCCTCAGTAATAGACTCATAATCTTCAAACCAGTTACCTCATTCATCTTGAATCCCTCTAATAGTCAACTTTCTTCTTTTGTCCTTAATAGTAGCATGGAAGTAGGCAGTATTGGCATCTCCCTCATTGAACCATTTAGCTCTAGCTTTTGGCTCAAAATAGAGTCTTGAATCTTTAGGTATCTTATAAACTCAGTTTTACTCTTGAATAGCTCACATCTATTCTTTGAAGTATCATTGGTCATTCAGTTCTCTTCCAGGTCCCTAATGAGATTTTTTAACCTTTTAGGTTCCTCAAAGATATCTCCAAAAGTTTTTCTGGACCATGTACTAAGTGCCTTAGTAGTATTCTTTATCTTCTGATACAAAATATATAAAGAATTATTTTGGATATAAATACCCCAGCTGTTCTGCACTATCTGAAAGAATTCAGGGTGTTCAATCTAGAAGTTAAGAAACTTGAAGTGCCTAGTACCTTGAATATCTTCATGATGTAGCTTCACCAAAAGTGGAGCATGATCTGAGCAGGATCTGGAGAGGTGTGTGACTGCTATGCTATTAGGAGTATCAAATCAACTAGAATTATATACCAATCTGTCGAGTATTTTTCATATAGTGAGGGGCGAATCCCTGTTATGACACCAGGTAACTTTAGCACCAGTAAAACCAGCATCTTGTATACCACATTCGTTGAGATAACCTATGAAGTCTAGACTTTACTCTACTCTAGTCTGTGTAGTCTGCCACACAATGTTTTCTCTCTATTAGTGATCACATTAAAGTCTCCAATGACCCCCATGGATCTTGAATGGCGGTAGCTTAGTCTCTTAGGTCCGACCATAACTCCCTCCTCAAATCTATAGAGCATTTAGCATAAACAAACGTTAGTAGAAAGGAGGGGCAACTATTGTGGTCAGCCTTAATGTGAGCATGTTGTTCTTTGTCTTGAAGAATAGTTATGTTGATGTCATTAGTCCAAAACAGCCAAACCTTGTTAGAGCAATTAAAGAAAGCCTGATATTCCACTATATTGTATTAATCATTGGAAGTATTATAATTGAGGGTGCTTTGAACTGCCATTGAGGAGTCAAGAGAATTGTCTCTGAAAAACTGACTCCCTCCAATATTGTGTTAATTCCTTGGGGACATGTTGTTGATATTGGAGATATTAGTCAGCTCCTTGTCTCTCAAGTAGAGCGACTCTTCAGAGTGGGGATTTCCGGTACCCCTCCTGATAACTTCATCGTCGAATAAAGATTTTTGAATAACCTCATAGATGCATTCTATAAATATTTCCTGGTTGAGCTTGTCGCTCGTTAACACAACTATGTCTTGCACTTGGACAACTGAAACACCAATAAGCTCATCTATTGAGTCTGGAGGGCCAGGCTCAGGATTTTGAGGTCCATTTCCCATTTTCACCTTCAGTATATCCAGTTCCTGGGCCTTGTTGGTCAGGCTGGCTACCTTCTCCTTGATATTAGAGGTGACCTGCTTCAGAGGAAGTTTATGGGGGTCTATAGGGGTATAGTCTCGGACAATTGATCCTCTCTCTTGGTAGTATCCTCTATTAGAGGTGCTAACTTTGTCTTTGAATCTTTGTTTCTCGGTGGGAACCCTTTTGCTATTATTGGCTTCATTACTAGTCCAGAACTCCTTACTGCTTTGTGCTTGTTGTTCGATGTTCTCCATATAAGACAAGGGTTCATTTCTGTTCTTGCTGACTCTAAGATTATGGTGGTGCATTTCATTCTTGTTCTGCTTCCTTTCCTTTATTTGTTGTTGTGCTCCCTGTCCCATCTAGAGTTCATTCCAAACTGAAAATTAGAGTCTTCCCCAGCTTTACCTTGTACATTGTTCTCCTTATCTGTGCTAGTATCCATCGTTTGCTCCATTATTTTCTTCTCAGCTAGTTGATTGAACATATTGCTATTAAGCTGATAGTTTTTGCCTTGATATAAGCCTTCATTCTCCTCTGAGGGTTCTTTGGAGAAGAGTTCCCATTGATACTGTTTTTGCCTTTTTCTTTTCCTTTTCTTTTGTCAACTTGTTGCCATCCTTCCTCCATAGTAGATTTGGAAGTAGTAGTGTCTTGTTTGTTGTTCATACTTATATCTACTTTCATCTTTTGTGTTCCATGTTGTGTATTGACAGCGCTAGAAGTGGCCATATTTGAACTAAACTTGTTGCCTTTGTTGATTTGATTGTTGATGTTGCTATCAGATTGCTGGTTCCTCATTTCTTCTTCTGCCATCTCATTGTTTTGGGAATCCCCATGTACATTTTTGGGAGTATGTTGACAGACCTCCCTTGTGTGATCTTGGATACGACTATGGGAGCAAAACTGGGGGGGGCTGTTTCATACTCAATGGAACTGATTTTTTTAATTTGTTGTCGATAGCATTTGTGGCAAGCTTTTGTTTCCCGTGAAAGACAATAGTTGATGGAGACACAATTGCGCAAATATATGACGCAGAGAGCTCTCTGAGCGAATGGTTTATTCAGTGAGGTGATTCCACAATTATGTACAAAATTTCAGTCCCAATCAATTTTTTATTCATGCTGGGATTCAACTGCACCTTATTACCAAATTGTTGATAAAAAATAAGAGCCAAGCAATACTGTCATTATAAGTTACCCACAAGTTTGTTCTTCAACAATGTATTCGTTGGTGTGGTGAGTACTATTAACTAGAAAGAGATTGATATTTTTCTCGGTTGTGTTCCACTCTGTATAGTTGGTATTGTATATAGGGTAGAATACCAAAAAACCTCTTAAACTTGACACGGATTATTAGTTACATCCCCAAACTATTCGTGGTCTTAATTACCTCCAAAAACTTGGCTATTTGAGAGCCATTACCCCCTGAACGCTGATGTGGCAAAGAGTTTAGATGCACTCTCTTTCAAGCGCGTGGGAATGGAAAATAATCGAAAAGTCAGCTTCCAAGTAGGTTATTTTTCAACCGTTAGTTGTCACATAATCATGTATAATAGTTTATTTATACAACTATGTTTTCTTCTTGCTTCATCTTAACATACAACCCCAACTTCTATTCCTTTTGATCTTTTCTATAGACAATATCTATTTATTCCAATTACATATTTCTTCTTTCTTTGGCCAAATTTGTAAAAAGTTTGGCTGAAACTCCATCATTTTAGTCAAATAGAAAACTTTTAGCTAAAATAATGGAATATTAATTGCGTAATTCTTGTTATTTTTCTGTAGATATAATGGTTATTTATTTCAATTGTATATTTTTATTTTTCGGGTTAAATCAGTAAAAAAATATATTTCCAGCTCCATTATTTTTTACCAAATAAAAAAAGTATAGCCAAAATAATAAACTTGTAATTGTGTAATTTTTTATATTTTCTTTAGATACAATGGCTACTTATTTCAATTGTACATTTTTCCTTTTCTTGCAAAATCTATAAAAAAATATTTGCTTAGAGCTCCAAAATTTTTAGCTAAATAAAAAATTATAGCCAAAATAATAATGTTCAAACTATTTAATTCTTACATCTTTTTTAGATGCCGTGACTATTTATTTTAATTGTATATTTTTTCCCCAGGACATAGTAAAAAAAGAATAACTAAAACTTCATTGTTTTTAGCCAAACAAAAAGAATTAGCCTAAATAATGTAGTTCTAGGCAAGTTTTATTATAAATATTATCTAAAGAAGTAACACACTTGAAAGGTAAAAAAATATATTTTATTATTCTAAAATACCACATGGACAGGAAAATCCACGCGACAGGAGAGTACATGTTACTTTTTTGGGATGAGATTGTCCAAGGAGGCAACAACTATCGAATAATTAAGTTCAAGGGGGTAATTAAGACTACGAATAGTTGTGTGTTATCAATAATCCGTGCCAAAGTTTAGGGGTGTTTTAAGATATTTTGCCTATCATTAGTAAATCAAACTGGGGTGAAGCTGATCCATAGCGTACTCTCATTTGTACGAGTGGAGCGCCTTCTTAGGCTAGCATCATCTAACTACAATAATATTACTTTTACTAAAAGCTTTTACAATCTTACTGTTGTATAATTCATTCTCCTACTTTAGTTTTTGAATGTTCATTTCTTCTTTTGACCTGCAATTTTGAAAACATTAGCCTTTGCTCCAGTTTTCGGGTGTTAGTGAATAGTTTCCTGCAGGAGCAAGGCTTAAATTTGTTCAAGATTGCATGTCAAAAAAAGAAAAGAACATCTTTGTTGACCTAGTTGAGGTATGTATTTGAAAACCTGACTTCGAACTTCTTGTTCTGATGAAACCTGGGGTCTCGCTTTAAAACCTGGGGTCTCGCTGTTTCCGCGTTAAAGCGGAGTTGGCTAGCTGCCAGCATATCTTTTAATTAGAAAAACATGCAAGTACAATTGTAGAGTGTCAAATTAGTTACTACGCCACGATAAAATGTTACTCTGACACACCATCCCCAACATAGTTTTACAGCTATGGAATGTTCCTTCCAATTTTTGATGTGTTATGGTTGTGGCATGGCGTTTGGATCTATTTATGTTTATGCCAACAACAACAACAAACCCAGTTTGATCCCATAAATGGAGCCTGGGGAGGGTAGTGTGTACGCAAGTCTTACCCCTACCTCATAGAGATAGAGATACTGTTTCCGATAGACCCTTTATGTTTATGCCAGGTAGATCAAAATGGTTTATGAGCGTCCAGGAAGGACAGAGGATAGTTTGAAAAGGGCAAAGTAGATGCAGAGAATTAGTAAATTGTCTTGGTTTTACTTCTAAAATTCATGCCCAGACAACATGCTTTTAACACATCCCCCTAAATAAGTGAATACCAAAAAATACAGAGAGTGTGAAATGGAAAGGAATATGGAAAGAATGAAGCAACGAAACCGGAAGTCATTGCTAGTATAGTAAAGACTGTCATTACAAACAAATATAGGGAGATGGTCATGTTAGGTTGCAACAATATATGGTTGCTTCCACATTATTATACATGATAGAGGTCAGGCTAGAAGAAGCTGCTGAGTGAGCAAGCAATTCAAGAATCCAATATAATGGGGTGGTGGGTTAAAGAATGTACATTTGGGATAGAATTATTTATCTGATGGTGAGGTGATCAAACATCATCAGCATCACTTCCTGCAACATGAGTTTCATGACTGGCCCAGTAATGGCTTCCATCAGGGCCAGAAATCTTAAACCTGTTGAGTTTCAAAAGAAAAGCACCTCAGAGAGGACTTATGAGCTATGCTCCTAATTACTCAATTCTAAAGAACACTGAATTAGACTACTGACCGCTCAAGGACGGATTTTCCTTCTTTGTACTTTTGGCTCTTCTCATGGGCGGTCTCCTGCAAAAGAATTACTATTAGCAACTAACTGAAATTGTTTGGTAACTGCCAAATGACAATGTCTACCATGTTAGCACTCTGTACTCACATATTTCCATCCAACAATTGACCCACAACAGACACAGAAAATGTCGGCCACAGTGTGCATACCAGTCATCATCATTCTATTCTCTATCTCGCCAGAAGTAACATTCACTCTGTCAAAGAAAAAAAGGGCATATAGAATATACTGAACCACAAAGTGCATTTTCATTATGAATGTTTCTACTAAATGATAATATGGAATAAAGAGACTTGAGAAGAGCAGAACTTATGAGCAGGAAAGCAATCAACTTGAGCACAATATAGGTATTATTGCGATGCCGCTCTAAAGATTTAAAAAACAAAAAAAAAGTAAGTCAAGTAAGATTTTTTTTGAATATTGATGTGTTAATATTTGTACTCCTGCAAAATACAATTTAATGTACATGATATAACAGTCTGGTATAATTCCATTACGTTCTACACTGATTCCAATAGATTATAAGCAGGGGCGGCTCAATAAATATGGAGGCCTAAAGCAAAATTTCAATGAGGGGCCTTTTTTATATAAAAGGAGAAATTCATATATAATTTCATTTAAATTTTGTATTTCTAGTTTTTCATATGTAAAGTTATTAATAATTTTATCTAATCCATTTAATTTCTCTTGAGATATACACGTTGTGGGACTGTATTAAGGTTTTAATCTTTATTGAGTTATGAATTAATAATCGAATTCTTTCTCAATTTATGGTCTAGAGAGTGATTCCCGAAAAGACATTTTTTCTCAATTTATGATCAACAATTTAATCCTACTTTTTTACTATGAAAATTTGTACTTTCTCATTTAAAACACTAAATATTATTCTAAAAATAAATTAATATAATAACATGTTAGAAAAATTTGGGGCCCCAAAAATTAGGAGGCCCAAAGCAGCTGCTTTAGCAGCCTTACCCTTGGGCCGGCACTGATTATAAGTAAAGACCAGCTAATTTTATAGTCAATGACACGAATATATCAAGATATACATCTACTGTACCATGATCTTAACAAACTAAACCTAACGACCTTGCTCACAAGTTTTCATGTGCATTTCAAATATTGTAAGCTGGTTGTGACCTTTCATAGCGATCAATCTACTTGGGTCAAATGTGACCCAAGTAGAGTATGGGGCCCAAAGAAATGCCAAATAAATTGCACATAATCCAGTTGCATCCAACTTTTGAAAAGTGAGTCTTCTTCATTTCAATTCATGAAAATTTAGGCTAACTACTACAAACATGAATTCTTCAAAACTTCATCTTTTTTCACTTTCTAGTTGAAGAACGTCCTCCACGCCAATAAAAGAAGGTACAAGAAGCTAGATAAGGAGGATTTACACAGTAGCTCTTTGCATCCTAACTTTGTAGCAGAGGTATGCAATAACAATGTTCATCAAACCAAGTAACAAATAACTTGTCCCCCATCAATGCCAAGAAAAGCTTAACAGCAATAACAGGAAATATAATGGTAATGGCTTTCATACTCTAACAAGAATAAAACTAATAGAAGTTGCACAAGTTTGTGGGACTTGTGATTTTACTGCTGCAACTGTAAAGATTGGACATGTGAAATGTCACAAAAGATTTCTAGTGATTGTGTGTGCAGAATCAAAGGGACTTACACCTTACTGAAGAGATAAGCCTTCCCATGTCGGCAGTGGAAAGACTGAAGGAAAGATCAGAGGTAAAACACTGAATCAGATAACTTCATGACAACAATTGCTTAGGGGCTGAAAGAAGAAAGTAACATAAACTTAAATGCAAAATTAGCTGGGTAATCATCATTTAGTTCCATTCCAAGCATTTGAATTTTCTAATGAACAAAGGGTTTGAAGCTCCATCACTTGAAAGCATGCTATAGTTACATGCTGTACAAGACAGAGGCAACTCTCCGTAGGATAGATTTGACACAGAAAGTATAGAACAAATACAACGAAAGTCATGCAATCCACATTATAAAGAAATTAAGTATAATAAAGTCACAAAACAGACACCAAGTTGATAAATATAAAAAACAGACAGTACCCATGAAGTATTGAAGCTATTAGTCCACAAAATGGGAACAAATGGCAAATGCCAATCAAGTATACTCCATTTATCAACTCAACAATGAACTCTTCCACATAACAAGAATGGGCCTCTAATGCATACCTGGTAAAACTAGAAGGGTTGCCACATTGGACTCTATCAGCAGTACCAAATATTTTTCCTTTGAGAGGTTTTATTTTATTCGCAAGAATGCCCATACATGCCCCCTTTTACTCCTAAATCAACAACACTAGAAAACACAGTTCTTGGATGGTAAAAATCCATCCCCTTTAGGCGGAAAATTACTCAATCTCAGACTTTGCTCACTCATATGGCTGATTTTAAGTACCTAACTTTTATTGACAGATAAATTTATTTTACAGAGCAAGAACACAGAGAAAAATCCGTAACAAGTTCACACACAATAAAATAAAAAGAATTAAAAAAAATTCAACCACCGATCGAGCCCAAGATTGTACTTTTATAACGAAATAAATCTAAATAAGCAAAATTAAAGAAACCCCAGTTGCAAAATTGTGTAGATTACAACAAAAGAGTGATCAAACAGATAAGTAAACTGATTTTGGAGAAGACGAGCAAAACCTTAGAAACGATGCTTTCAGAAAGAGCAAGATGGGTTCCACAGTGCTTGCAGCTATAGATCTTGCCTTCAAGTGTCAACACAAATAGTCTCCCCATCTTCCCCTCTTTGCCTTAGAAGACTTTTGGATCAGTATTAAATTGAAGAATCAGAATTAAGGTTGAAAATTAAAACAGCTCAGGAAAAGAAAGATAAGGGCTAATTAAAAAAAGAAGATATGGATCAAAAGTTTGTCATTGTTGCACTAAATATGTGGATAATGGTTTTTGTTTCAGCTGAAAGATAAGTAACTTCAAGAAAGAGAAGGCATTGAATGTGTAAGAGAGAGTTCTTTGACTGATGTAACAAGTAAAGAAGTACAGAAGTTACCCTTTTGCGAAGCAAAGGTGCAAAATATGTGGGTGGACAAAGCTACTTTGGATTTACGTATGTAATTTCTACCCCGAGTCCGGAACCAAACTGCCGTTCTTTTGTATTCAAGCGGTTAAAAAAAGATTGGGCATCATTTTATATATAGCGCGATTATTCGCTGCGCTATACTTTAATGATAGTTTTGTCCGTTAAAGTATAGCGTGATTATTCACCATGCTATATTTGAACTTAAAATGGGCAGGAGGTATAGCGCGCATATATGCGCGCTATACCTATATAAAAAACCGTGTCATCTCTTTCCCCCACCAGACGCGAACCAGCAGACCCCAAAACCAAAATTCCCCCCCCCCCCCCCCACACACCATTTTTAAAGAAAAAAAACTTAGTGGAGTCCACCCGTCCCACAAAAAGTATATCTTCTCGGTATTGTAGCAAGCTTACACTGGATCTAAAGCATTATCGCGTAGTGGATTGCTCGTTGCGGCCCCCAAATCATCAAATCCTCACCTTTCAAAAAATTATTAATCGAGGTATTTCGATTTACTTTTTGTTAAAACTCATGTATAAAAAATGCGTATTAGTTATTTTTTTACTCTGATCTATGTTTTTTCGTGATTATTTTGTGATTTAATTAATTTTTTATTTTTTATCAGGATTAGATTATTGTTGTGGTAAAAATTAGTAAAATTGATAAATTATTATTTTATGAATAATTAATGTTATTAGTTGTTATAGATAATGTTTATTAGTTATTTTTTACTGTGGTATATGTATTTTCGTGATTGTTTTGTGATTAAATTAATTTATTATTTTTTATCCGGATTAGATTATTTATGTGCTAAAAGATTAGTAAAATTGATAAATTGTTATTTTTCCTTTAGTGTTATGTTGTGCCCGTAATTGTAATGTAGTGCCCGTAATTGTAATCTAGTGCCCTTTACCGTAGTATCTTTGTAGTTATTAAAATTAATCATTTAATTATCTTTTAACCCCAAAAATATTTGAAAATAATATGATAGTTCAAACACAAACTCTCTCGAATGTTAGTCAACAAATGTAAGAAAATAACATAAAAAATAACAATATTTGTCAAACTAAGTATTTTTATATGAATACTTATTAATTATATCATGTATAGTTATAAAATAATAAACTAACATATAAAATAAGAAAAAAATATAGAAAATAATAAACTATCATATAAAATAATAAACTAACACACAAAATAATAAACAAACATATAAAATAAGAAACAAACATATAAAATAATAAACTAACGTATAAAATAATAAACTAACATATAAAATAATAAACTAATATATAAAATAATAACCTAACATATAAAATAATAAATTAACATATAAAATAATAATATAGAAAATGTATCAACTTAAGTAATAATATAGTAAAAATATCTATTAAATATTAATATAAAAGATATTGCAATATATTTAAAGACGTTAAGCAATCAAAAAGAAAAATACTTTAATTAATATTGTTCAATTTACAGACATCGTCATGGAGGTTCCCCTTGTGCATCCCGGACCTGCATCTCGAGAGCTACTGTTGCTACAGGGCAACCATAGGTCTTCATACATCTGGGATGGGCAGTGTTTATCCCAGACATTCCTCCCCAGACGTATAGACGATATGTGGGAGTTTATTAGGGACCACCCACTCCATCCCCGTATAGTTAGACACCTTCAGAATACGGGTTTCTACAGGATCATAGAGACCGGCTGGTTGCAGTTTGACTGGGCTTTGATCACGGCTATGATAGAGCGGTGGCGACCAGAGACGCACTGTTACACCCCATGTTTTCGTACATGGAAGTACGCCATAAGTAAATTGATATAAGCTCGGAAATGAGATGTTACATTCCGCATTTTCGTACGTTAAAGTTTCGTCGTAAGTTAATCAACGTAAGCTCGGGACAAGATTATTTTGAGGTTATAAGTATTACGCTATTTCAAACAAGTGATAAGCAAACTCGTGAAGGTGAGAGGGTAAGCGAATCAAAGAAAATGAGTATCGCTGAAGGTTGTCAATTTGGGATAAAATAAGGTCCGAGCTATTGTAACGACCCGGCCAGTCATTTTGAAAGTAATAGCCCCGATCCCCTATTTACTATTTCCTCTGCATCTCTTTTCTGCTTGTGTGACTTGTCGGGAGGTCTTGTTTTTGGTTTCGGAGTGTTTTGGGACACTTAGTCCCTAAAACGGGAGGTTAAGCCTTAGGATTGGCACCGTAGTCGGAACTGTGTGAAGATGACTCCGGAATGGGATTCCGTCGATTCTGTTAGCTTCATTGAGTGATTTTGGGCTTAGGGGCATGTCCGGATTGTATTTTGGAGGTCCGTAGCTCATTTAGGCTTGAAATGGCGAAAGTCAAAATTTTAGAGTTTTGGGTCGGTAGTGAAATTTTTTATATTGGGGTCGGATTCCAATTTCGAAAGTTGGAGTAGGTCCGTAATGTCGAATATGACTTGTGTGCAAAATTTGGGGTCAATCGGACGTGGTTTGTTGGTTTCGGTATCGATCGTCGAATTTGGAAGTTTCAAGTTCTTTAGGTTTGAATCGGAGGATGATTTGTGATTTTAGCGTTGTTTGATGTGGTTTGAGGGCTCGACTGAGTTCGTATGGTGTTTTAGGATTGGTTGGTATGTTTGGTCGAGGTCCCGGGAGCCTCGGATTAGTTTCGGGTGCTTAACGGGTGAAAGCTTGGACTTAGAAAAATTTCTGACATGCTGGTTTCTGGTGTTTTAGCACCTGCGGTGGGGAGCCCGCAGGTGCGGCCCCGCAGAAGCTAGGCTGGGATCGCAGGTGTGCCTTTAGGACTGGGATTCAGCGGTGGCAGATACGACGAGTGAGCCGCAGGAGCGGAGCCGCATCTGCGGAAGGGCAGCCGCAGATGCGGAGATGAGAATGACCCAAGGTTCCGCAGAAGCAGACGAGTAGACGCAGAAGCGCATCCGCAGATGCAGACTTAGGCACGCAGGTGCGTACTCTGGAGTTTTAATGAAAACTCACAGGTGCGAAGTCCTAGCCGCAGAAGCGACACCGTAGGTGCGATGATGAGGTCGCAGGAGCGGGTTCGCTGGGCAGAAAAGAGAGAGTTTCGAGGGTTTGATTCATTTCTTCATTTTTGGACTTGGGAGCTCGGAAATTGGCGATTCTTTGAGGGATTTTCAGAGAGAGCTTTGGGATAACGATTCCTAACTCGTTTTTGGTTGTATTTCATTAATCTATAGTTGTTTTCTCCATTTATTTTTGAATTGGGATTGAAAAGTTGGAAAAATGGGGGAAACGTTCCATAATCGAATTTCTGAGTTTTGATTGGGTTTTAGACATCGGATTTGGTTAAATTTGGTACGAGTGAACTCGTGAGTGAATGGGTATTCGTATTTTGTGACTTTTACCCGATTCCGAGACGTGGGCTCGGGGAGGCTTTTTAGGGCGATTTTCCAATTTATTGCTTTAGCTTTAATTTCGTTGATTAGATTAATTCTTATAGTTGTATTTATGGTATGTAATTGATTTTGGCTAGATTTGGGCCATTCGGGGCCGGATATTCGTGGAAAGAGCATTGTTACGGATTGATTGAGCTTGGTTTGAGGTAAGTGGCTTGCCTAACCTTGTGTGGGGGAAATCCCCTTAGGAGTTGGTACTGATTTTACTATGTGAGCGCCGTGTACGCGAGGTGACGAGTGCGTACACGGGCTATTTATTGAAAAACCAGATTTTTACTGAGAATTTCCATGTTTCCACCTTATTTGAATATACTAGTATGCGTAGTTACCCTGTTAGCTTAGAATAACATGTCTACGTGCCTTATTTGCTTAATTGAACTCTTTGCAGCATGCCTATTTAATTCTTGCTTCTTTCCCGACTTGTACTTAGTCTAGACTGTAGATTTCTCTTGCTGTACTTATCATTTGTAATTGATTGCGCTGTGTATTTACTTTGGGACTACGGGACGGTATCCCGAGAGATCCCCCCTGCATATTTACCTTTGGGACTATGGGACGGTATCTCGGGAGATCCCCCTGCATATTTACTTTTGGGACTACAGGACGGTATCCCGGGAGATCCCCCTGCACATTTACTTTGAGACTACGAGGCGGTACCTCGGGAGTTCTCCCTGTATATTTACTTTTGGGACTACGAGACGGTATCTCGGGAGATCCCCTATCACTTAATTCCGTGCACTATTATGTTATTTCACTGTGCTTTCCTTTGTTGAACTTTAGTCTCTTATTATACTGCTTATTAACCTGATTTTATTATTATATACTAGTGGGCCTGACCTGACCTCGTCACTACTCGATCGAGGTTAGGCTCGACACTTACTGGGTGCCGTTGTGGTGTACTCACGCCCTTTCCTGCACATATATTTCATGTGCAGATCCAGATCCCTTTTACCAGCCTCGCCCTTAGTTGCAGTTGTTGCTGTTTCGGATACTTCAAGGTACATCTGCCCGCGTCCGTAGATCCTCAGAGTCCCCCTCTATCCCCCTATGTTCATTTTTCCCTCTTTCTGTAGAAATGATGTATGAACAGTTAAGACTTCTTAGTAGCTTGTGACTTGCAGGTTTTCGGGTTTTGGGAATTGTTTGGTACATTTCAAAGGTGATAATTGTATATGCCGAGTGAAATTCAGTTGCTTATTAGATATTTCTTACTGTTAGTGGTTTATGTTCACGTTTTTTATCTCATTTTTGCAAAGTGTTAGGCTTACCTAGTCGTAGAGACTAGGTGCCGTCACGACAACTCACGGAGGGATAAATTGGGTCGTGACAGCTATAACACCCGACATTTATGGACTAGTGCCATACAAGGTACTACATGACCATGATAGTAAGGTGTATAAAGTGTGTTAAAAGTACGTAGTATTTTAAGTAATTTGAGATAATTTTTAATTATGTGGGTATTTGGTTAATTATTGGATTAGTGAGGGATTAACAAACTAATTAAAATATTTGGTGGATACGATTAA